CAGGAATTAAAAGCATCTCAAGGACAGCCTCTGCTCTTCTCTGGCCAGCACGGGCACTTAAAAAGTGGCCCCAACAAGTTTTTCCTTTTAGGACTCACCTTTCCTCTGTTCCCCAAGGAGGTCTGCAGTCTCCAGCTCCGCTGAAAGGATATCCACAGCACCAGTGTGATCTGACTGAATCATGACTATATCTCCTGCTCCTTGGGGTACATGGTAGTTCGTCATCCGAACAACAGCTTCCTGCACAAAGCATACAAGAAACTCTGTTACAAAGACCATCATGGTAAGAAAGGCACCAGCTGGATTTAAAACAACGTATTAGTAATTCAGGCATCTTTCTGAAGCCAAGTCAGACCTTGCAGAAGCTTCTATTAGTTAGAAAGAACTACCTGGCTCCAAGACACCTCTCTGGTGCTGTGGAGGAAATAATGCAAAGTCATGAACTTTGAAGTCAAACGCTGTGTTAGTCTCACAAATCACACACCCCTGGGCCTCCCTCTGAGTCCCTGGGCAGGCACATCTTTGCATCTGCCCCAGAGTTAACTGTCACCTCTCAACAAAGCAGCAGCCTTGCAGATTACTACACTTGCAAAGGTTTCCCAAGACACAATTTCTCTAGGGAGAGCCTTTCAGCTCTATGTGAATCCATACTACAGCTACAATCAAGCTGTCATTTGCTGCATCCTAGTTAAAAGTGCATCTGGTTGACTGGGGCCAGCCCTCTTTCCTCATATATGCAAGCTCACAGCTCCTGAGCTGGGTGCTACTTGTGTGGGTTTTCCCAACTGTATCTGTAACGCAAATGAATTGGCTGCTCACCAAAAGAAACAAAAGACAGCAGTCACTTTCAGTTCCTTCTTCCATAAATCTGCAAGAAGGGAATTCCCAGAAGCCCCAGACCAGAGGCAAAAAGTGACAATCACCTTGATGCCTTAGCAAGCCAAAACTGCAAGGAAGTGAGGACTAGCCAAACACACGAGGGATTTTGCAAATCAGACTGATAACCATTAACAACTGAATCTAATACTACTTTTGTCTTAACACAACCTTTAAAGCCTCAGTCCCATAGTGGAAGAACTCTTGCTGCACGTCTGTCCTTGCTTTCAGACATAAGAAACACCCACCTACCTCTTTGAGGCACTGGATTTGATCAGGCAGCTTCTCTTCTAGTTCAGTCGCTTCCTGATCCTCCAAAGTCCCAACTCCTTCCTTGGAATCCTCTCTCGTGCCTGCATTCATGAGCGACCCAGTCTGCGACCTTTCAGATGAAGAGCACTACAATTCAGCACTTGCACCCAGGGCACAGACAGCAGAGGAATCACTCTGTCCTGGAACTCTAACTCAAATAGACTGAAGGGAACAAGCTTCTGTGGTGAGCACCTGCCATGTGCACATAGAACCCTTTGTAACCCAGTCCTGCCCTCATCTCTACATGGCTATCTTCCATGTGAGCCAGAGGGAGCAACTTCAGCGAGATGCTTCATATTTACCATCCTTTAGACAGCAGTAATTCCCTGCACTCACCCTGCAGCATGCCAGCTCACCAACACTGTACCAAGTGCAGAAATCAGTAGCAACTTTCTGCTCAAGGACAACTTTGTTTATGCTAGATACATGATATCTGCATATTCCATCAGAGGTCAACTGGGTCAGTGAAAAGATTCAAAACAGTTTTGACAGCCATCCTGAAAATGCCCTCCATTTTAGTGACCTGTTAAGTCTTTCCTATTACCCATCTCAAGGGATAGAGGGAGCACTCGGGTGTGTCTCTGCCATATTCAAATACGCTGCACAGAAAAGCAAGCCATAAGACATAGAACACCAGCACAATAATAGCAAAGAGGTCCAAGTACTGGACTGTGAGAAGAAGAAATGTGCATGTTAAAACAAAAAGAAAGCTACATAGCAGAAAAAGAATGGGCAAGAAAACAAACATTTTTGAAATTCATTCTCTGCTGAGGGTTTTCATCTAAATTTTATTAAAGAATGCTGCATATTGTCTATAGCTGGAAAGAGTTATCATCCCACCTGAACTCAGATGGAAGCCAGAAGAGTCTCGTCTAACATACTCCCAGATACAGTGTGAAACTTCCATGAGAAGCAACCTAGTCTTTAGTAAGAATAGAAACAGTTTTGCCCTTTCAAAAAGCAAAGCCTTCTCACAGCACTATAAAGCCAATGTCAACTGCCTTGGAATAAAGGATCAGAAACATGAGAACACTGCTAATAGAAAGGATGTGCATTTCCTCAAATGTCTCCTTTCAGAAATGAAAAATTCTCATTAGCAAGGGATTAGACTCTCAGTATAGTGTGGAATAGTTTAAAAAAATAATTAACAAAAAACCCCCGTACACAGCTCAACTCAGATATATTCATTCCTGCATCCTTAGAGAGGTCTAGAACAGGGCAAATGTGGCTTTTGTTTCCAAGTCTTTACTCCTATGGGGGTATAGATTTTATCCAGAAATAAAGCCATTTCTTACTTAAATTCTCTGAACAGTATGATATCCTTTCCTGGGAATAGCATGATGAAGACCAGAAGGTCTGCAAGAACAACACAAATGAGCTGGATACCAGAATACACAAAATGGCAGCAGATGGACAATATAAAAAGGGACAGTTGTAAGGGACAATTTTTTAAAGGAAGAACTCTCACAGTGATCTCTAACAATTTCTCTGTGAGTTCAGGAAAAATTTTGACTTCTATGCCATTGTTTTCCAGCCCATTTACTCTTTAGTTAAGCAGTTGTGTGATCATCCCTAGAAGGGCTATTTGGTCACTTGCTACCACAGGAGCACGCCTGCTCAGAAGGCTCTCCATCAACATAGGAGCTAACAGCTTGGGAATTTTTTCTTCCAGACACCACTGAAGCCCAAGAGGTTCACTGAAAGGTTAGTAAGAGGTACACGAGCTTTATAAGCAGATTTACAAAGACAGGGTTCAGCTGATTCCTCCTCACACAACTCTTCTGGACCACCCCCATCCCCTTCAGTGGAGATCTAACATAGATAAATTTCTCAGGTAACATCTACAAGTATCCAGCATCTGTTGTGCCCATTTCACTTACAGTCTGTATTAATCTCTGAAGAAAACTAGAGGACATAATAAAGAGCTGGAAGAACACACGTTTGGAGTCAAGAAGGCTGATCCAGATGTCATTAACATCAAAACAAGATGGCATCAAACTGCCATTTTAGTATGGAGGGTGGTTTGTTGGGTTTTTTTCTGGAATTTTTTCTCCTTTTTCAATGAAGTTGTGGTCTGATGCAATTAAATCATTTCTGAAATGGTATCCTGTGCAACAAATGTATGATGGCAAACGAAACTCTGCTGCACACAGTATTAGTGCTTGTAACCAATGCAATGGCTCGGCCACAAACACCACATGCCCAACACATAATAAGACAAACATCTGCTACCAGGGTCGAACAGCAGCACTGATGGAGTAACACAGAAAACAAAGGGTGAAGGAAAAAACAAAACATTGTCAAGAAGACAGTAAAAGGCATTTTCTTGCTCAGCTTCCACCAGGATTATAGACAGTATGAATGCTTAGTTATTAAAGAATTCTTCAGAG